GGACGCGGCCCGCCAGCGCCTGCTGGTCGCCGTGCGGGACGGGGGACAGCCGCCCCTCTCTGCCACCGCCACGCTGCACCTGGTTTTCGCCGACAGCCTCCAAGAAGTACTGCCGGATGTCAGCGACCGTCCGGAGCCCTCTGACCCCCAGGCCGAGCTGCAGTTTTACTTGGTGGTGGCTTTGGCCTTGATCTCAGTGCTTTTCCTCACGGCAGTGACTCTTTCCATAGCCTTGCACCTTCGTCGCTCCTCCAGCCCCACCACCTGCGGCTGCTTTCAGTACAGTCTCTGTGAAAAATCAGGACCTGTGATTCCTCCCAACTACAGTGAAGGGACTTTGCCTTATTCCTACAATTTGTGCGTTGCGCATACTGGAAAGACAGAGTTTAATTTTCTAAAGTGCAATGAGCAATTGAGTTCAGAGCAAGACATACTTTGTGGTGATTCATCCGGGGCCTTATTTCCACTTTGCAAATCCAGTGAGTCAACCTCCCATCTGGTGAGTTTCTTTTAAGCATAACCTGCTTCTTACAATCTATCCAATTCTTTATATTCATAGGAAAAGATACAATTTGTAGATCTAAACGTTTCTTTAAAAAGTAAAAAAGCTGTCATACTATTCTTCAAGGAAAGTTGAAATAGGAGCAGTTATGTGTCTTTTAGGGGTGTCTTACCAGGCTCAGATCTACAAAGCAGTGAGAGTGTGGTTTTATCAACAAAGGGAAAGAGATGATGTTATAGCCTATCTCCTAAAAGCTAATGGGACTTTTTTCTAAGTTTTCTTCTTCTTACCTAATATATTAATTTTTTAACTTGGACATTGTGTAAATGTAAAAGTGGACAGGCATTTAAATAAACCTTTAACAAAAAAAGTTATGCTAAAATTAGACATTTTTCTTAACTGATTTAACTGTTGTGTTGTTTCTTGTATTTACTCCCCTTTGTTTCAGAACCTTCTGGAATAAGGTATCTTAACATGGATTGTTATGTAGATAGACACATTGCAATTGTGTGCAATGAACTGTGTGTGTGTTAAAGCATTTTACTTAGCAGTTAGATCATTATGCTCACCAGAAGATAAAAAGCATTTTCTTTTACTTGCAGCACAGGTTTTCCACACACACACTCCTGTATCATTTTGAACTGTCTTTTTTGCAGCCCTAAGCTAATATAGCTAGAGGTCTTCTAGTCATTCTATTATCTCTAGGAGAAAAATAGTCTTCAGTTCTTCAAATTTTAGACAAAATTGCCACTCTGATGTGCATACAAGTGTAATAGTAAATAATACATTTGTAGATTTCTGTTAGCAACCGCTTCAGTTACTAGCCACTTAACAAACTGCTGAAGAAAAGAGACGTAGTTTTTTTCTGTATTGACACTTTCTGACTGTTTAGTGATAATTACGTGTTTCTTTTTGTGGTTCTCTGAATCAAAATACTAATTAGGGTAAAATTAACTTTGGAATATATGTCTTTCATAAGAAGTTAATTAAGTCTGCACTAACATATAATCATCTCTCATTTGTGGAAGAATAGGCTGGGGATTGGCTTTTTGTTGTGTATTCGTTGATATTTTTTAAACATTTTCTATTCAAATAGAAAAAATACATAATTTAAATAAAGTAGCTAAACAGGTTGCCTGGCTGGGTTGGTTGGTACAGCATGCGATTCTTGATCTCAGGGTTGTGAGTTCAAGCTCCATGTTGGGTGTAGAGATTACTTAAAAATAAATAATGCAATAACTAACTAAATAAATATGTAAAATAACAAAACAATATAGTCTTTGATGATGACACTTGAAAGTAAAAGCATTTATCCTGTTAAATTTCACAATGTTAATTTGAAAACATTATCAATATGTAATTAAAATGGCATTTTAAAAGAATATCTTGGGGCGCCTGGGTGGCGCAGTCGGTTAGGCGTCCGACTTCAGCCAGGTCGCGATCTCGCGGTCCGTGAGTTCGAGCCCCGCGTCGGGCTCTGGGCTGATGGCTCAGAGCCTGGAGCCTGTTTCCGATTCTGTGTCTCCCTCTCTCTCTGCCCCTCGCCTGTTCATGCTCTGTCTCTCTCTGTCCCAAAAATAAATAAACGTTGAAAAAAAATAAAAGAATATCTAAAAAGCAACTGAGAGCTTACTATAATGATTAATTAGTTTACATGAAATAAAACACCTTCTGAGTCAGTCATCTCCAATAGGTCTACTTTATTTCTAAAAATGAATGAATTTCCAGTGACAACTGGAATCCCTACTCATTTGATAATAGATTTACAATATAGCTTAGGGCATAGCACAAAACAAAATTTTAATTGTTTGCATTTTAAGAGTAAATGTATTCCAGAAATGTGAGTAATGTGAGACTAACCCATAAATCTTTTGATATCACTTAATAATACTTTATAAAACTTTAACCCTACTTCATCCCATGCTTCTTGGCAATTACTTTTAAAATATGAATTCAGAGACAAGTTAAACACATTAAAAATAAACTATAAAAGGCAAGAATAATTTTTTTTTTCTCTCAATAACCTGGCATACACTATTACTTATCTCAGTGGGTGCAGTAACTGCTTAGGACTCTAAGCGCCGCTGTTCACCTACTTGGAGATAAATTTAACCAAACGCCATCCTGTTAAAGGCTCCCATCTTGCAAAGACTCACAGTTCCCACAGACCAACTGCAAAGCTGCAGCGAAACTCCGTTCCTAAATCTGAGACACTCCAGCTTTATATAAGATGATCTCCATAGCTGCAGCAAAAAGGTAAACAAGACGCATATGCCCAGTGAAGATTCTGAGTGGATTCAGTAGTGAAAGAACAATGGCCGCTCCAAAGAATTACCAGAGACGCGGCAAGCTTGTCCTGCTGTACACTCTATTGGGCACGCTCTGGGAAATCGGGAGAGGACAGATCCACTATTCGGTGCCAGAAGAGAGCGACAAAGGATCCTTTGTGGGTAATATCTCAAAGGACCTGAATCTGGAGTCACAAGAGCTGGTGAAGCACGGAGTCCGCGTCGTCTCTAGAGGTAGGACACAGCTCTTTGCTCTGGATTGGAGAACTGGTAGCTTGATCACGGCGGGCAGGATAGACCGGGAGGAGATCTGCACTCAGAGCACACAGTGTCTAGTAAATATCAATATCCTGGTTGAGGGCAGAGGAAAACTTTTTGGGATAGAAATAGAAATCACTGATATCAATGATAATAATCCAAAATTCCAGGTCGAAAATCTGGAAGTAAAAGTTAATGAAATCGCTGCACCTGGAACA